AAACAACGTATATGCTTTTCTATACACGCGCAACTTTTGTTTGGCTATTGTAGCCGTAGAGACGAAAATAAAAGCCGGCATTTTCGTGCGCCAATATTAGGAATAGTTAAATATTTTCGTACGGGGCACGACTTCGTTGCTACCTGACTCGGTGTGTAATCACCGGTCACACATCCGCGCCCGCGCGCCATATCAGACTGGCTCCACTCGCGTTCGCTGCGCCGCGCGGGGAGCACGCCGACGACGCCGAGTTGATTTTTGGCTTTCCGCGAGTTTCGGGTTACGTGCCTCGCGCCGCTCTTCGGTGATCGAGATCGACACGATCGTCGAAATTCGAATCGTCTAGGAAGTATATACATAGGTGTTTTTCTACATTTCTTTGTTATTTCTCTTTGTTTGTTATATTTGTTTGTTTCTCGCAGCAGGAGGATTTTAAAGGGTCTCGAATCTCCCCTCCCTCCCAGGCAACCTATTCAAACGCATGAAGGGACAATTAAATGAACTTTCCGTATGTATAAACGTTATTTATATATATATATATATATATATATATATATATTTATGGTTTTTATTTTTTAATAAAAATCACATTCTTTGAAAATGTTACATTATATCACATAAAATATAATAAATATTGTATATACATTATAAATGATATAGAAACAATATAATAAGTATTACACAATATAATCAATGTTATAGAAACTTTAAATGCATCTTTCTTCCAGATTATAGCATGTGTCTTTCTTCCAGTTATCATTTAAATTTTATAGTCAGTCCAACAGATTTACTTTCAAATAAAGACTGCAAATAAAAATAAATTGTTCTTGAATTAAAAAAACAAGAATTTTTTTACACAATGGAAAGTATTGGATTAAGATCGAATCTAATTTGACCATAAACATATTTTTAGTTTCCAGTTTCCTTCAGAATTTCTCCGGAGGAATATCAGGTTTCTCTTTCAGTTGCAATTTCTAGCCATTTTGAAAATTGCATTTTACGCTTCTTTCTACAAAAGATATAGAGCTTTAAAGAAAATGAAGCAGCCTTTGTTAGAAGATAAAATTCTTTTAACAGAGTAAAAGGTAACGATATTAGACGATTAATTGAATTTTCTGATTGAAATACAGTAAAGAATATTAGAAACTTCCTACAATCTCAAGCCATTTGAGAAATCACTTAACAGTATTTTGCAACTTTGTCATCACTAGAGACAGAAACTAAAGATTTCTTTTAAGAAAAGAACAGTCTTTCGTACGAGAAGAATCTTTTCAAGAAATGAGATGTCGGCCTTTGTTTGTACCTTCGTATATTCGTATATTTCTTTAAATTTAGAAAACTTTTGGATTGTAAATATATTTTTAATTAAGACGACTTGTAGTATATTTGCAAGTAAAATTAAAATTCAAAATTAATTAGTTTGGAGCAAAATTAACAAATTAAATACTGGAGATTCTGATTTACGCTTTTATTAAAATATAATTGAAGATCATGTCGGCAAAAAATAATAAGAATAGAAAATGCGATTTATAAATTTAATTATTACCTCATTTATAATTTCTTCACTTTTATCAACGGTTCTCTAAATTATCTAAGTTGTTTGTATTTCGTATGTACATCAATGTGTGAGAAATATCAGTATTTTTATAACGTTCAATGGCGTAGAATCGATATCTTTTTTTTCTGCATAATCAGTGGTACGCGACTAATCGTACTTATGAATGATGAGTGGTGATGGGCCTATCAAGGTCTAAAACTGATGATGCGTATATCGCGAGAATAGTAAGATTCATTAATGGGTAAATCGGCCAAGGTGGATCTTGCATCTTCTATGCATTTGTACAAGGCGAAAGGAATGGTAATAAATTATGTCACAAATATGAGTCAATCTAGGAATTAAAAAAAAACCCGTATTATATACACACAACTGTCGACAATATCGAATTCTGTATTTTAATTTGGCTTATAATTTTTGGAACACTTCATGCAATAACGTATTAATCCAATCCGTCAAAATAAACAAATCAAATCGTAATAAATTTTCTTATGTCAAAGTCTAATAGAATAATGGCTCATATCTTTTCACTTTTCCTTGCTACCTATGTAATACGGGATGTTTTTAGTGTATTCATAATTTCATGTATAAAATATGACTCATGAAACTGATTAAATATACTATACAATTATTTATAATTGATTGGAAGGAGGTGATCGGCGAAAACGGTTTTTTAATATCAATATAGCATATATGAATAGACAAATATCTATAATCTTGCTACAGATATATCTTTGTTCACGAATTTTTCAAAAGAAATTCGTAACAATGGTACGATTTAATCAGTTTCGTGAGTCACTGTACGTTGAAAAAAGTAGAATAAATTTTAAAAATCAAAAAGAGTATCAAAGATAATCTAAGATAATTTTATTTTAATTTCTTTAATATCAAGACCACAGAAAATTATTGATGATTATACAATAATCTTGTTTTTCTTTTTTCAAAACACATTAAAACACTTCGTAGATTTAGACTATGTCATTAAAATTTTATTCAATTTTTATTTTTATTTATTAAGAACTGTTATCTGGTTTAATTTGTACTTTAATTGTGTGAAATTTGTGAGAAACAAGAACGATCACGAGATAAAATGACTTCCTTATAGGAGTTATTATCTAGGAACGATGCTGGGCCCGGTATCGATTTTCGTGAAACAGGAGACGATGGACAGTCGACAGTCGACAGTCGAGTCAATCGCAGATGCTCTGCCTCGTCCATTAAATACCGCCTTATATCACGCAGGCGATATAGGTCGCGCACGTGCAGCGGCACGCGTTCTGCGAATTTTCCGAGACTCATCGAGTCGAAAACCAAATGATGAAGTTATGCATCCGCGCCTACGCGAAAATCGAATTCTGTGTACGAGGTGTCTTTGACACGTTTCGTTTAGAGTTTTAGACTTTCATATACTTCAGAGTTCATTTAGATCCACGGGCTTTCTGATTGACTTGAGGTTGATGACCAAGTCGCAAAATAAGACTTAAAAAAATTGATTATTCTCGTTAACACGATACGTCACATTTATCGAATACGTTTTTAGGTTTAATATGTACCTTGATTAATGCACTTTTTAAATTACAGCAGCTTCTAAGCCATAAGCAAAGACGACGACTAAGCTATTCGGTCTCTCCATGCAGTATTTAAATCAACGCCCTATATATACATATAAAGGAAATGGTTATAATATATTCTGAATAATTTAATAGTGTATTCTGCTTTTATCGTAAATTGTTTACTTATTATTATATAAAAGATTACGAATTTCAACACAAAAGAGTATTTAAATGAGCAGAATTTTTTTGCTAATTTTTTTTAAGTTCGCTTAGCCCATCCTATTATTAATTACAAAAAATAGATTAATTTTGATAATACTTTGAAAGCAAGAAAGACTATCAATATCCAAACTAAAAAATTATTTAAAACAAACTAAATAAGTGTTCGTATTTTTTCTAAAAATTGTATTTTCTGCTATGTTTATATCTAAATTAATTGTCTAATATTATTATAAATTTAAAAATGTTGCTTATAATATACATATGTATCTTTACGCAATGATTATACTTATTTGTTTAAAATATTTGTTAAATTTAAAAGAAATATCAAATTTCTTTCAAATTAGTCAAGAAATGAAGAAGAGACCAAGAATTGCAAGACACATGTCAATGTACGCTCGGTGTTACTGGGTGATTCAGATACTTTTTTTCGAAGAATTTCGGAATAGGTACATAAAAGAATTGCGGATCATAATTGCATCGATAATGCTGCATAGTTCAATGATTCGCGATTTTGTGTATTTCGGAATTATAATATTAAAAAAAATATATCGTAATTTCATTGTATACAACATACGCGGTGTTAAGCACTCCCCAAAAAAATGACACTCTCGCGCATATGCCATGCTCAATTCGCTTAGTTGTGTGCTACGCTGTCCCTGGCCACAAGGTTAAATTAAAATTTAAAAGCTATAACTGAGAAATTAAGCTTTAGGATCGCAAACATCTTTTATACAATTTTAAACAAACTTTAATAGAGTTCCAATATTTAAAGATTAATTATTTAGTATTAAAAATTAAAAGGTGATGCTCTTTGTGTGAGAGAGAGAGAGCAGTCAATTTATAATCGACAAATTCCATATTCAATCCTGATTGTCATTCCATGTGTGCCTCGGTTTTATAAGAAGTTCAATTGAAGAGTTAAAGAATGTTAGTGAAAAAGTATGAAATGTATAATAACCCGTTTAAAGAATCCAGATTTCGTTTCTTTTAATATTCAATAAATATTAAAAAAACTAAAGCTCTCTACAAATTATATATATATTTCTTTTCGATATGTTTGTTAAAGTAAACTTGTTGTTAGTTAAGAGATGCATATAGAAAATAACTGTCATCTATATAATAAATCTATATATTAGGGGTATTCAAATAAGTTAGAGTTTAACGGTTTGACAGGTTATGTCGGGTTAAAGTCGGGTAAAAAGTTAATTTTTACACTTTTAACCCAAAGATTAATGTGATAGGTTAATGTGTCACTTATGTATTTTGCATAACCTTAAAGAGTAACGCGCCCAAAGTTAATTAATTAACTTTTTACTCGACTTTAACCCGACATAACCTGTCAAACCGTTAAACTTTAACTTATTTGAATACCCCTATTAAACATCTAAAACATAAATCTTCTCAAATGGATATAATACACTCGTCAATATTGCAGTGACTTCTAATTACGTGACAGAGTAATAATGTTTGACAAGACAAAAGAATCAAAGCAGTAAATAAAAAAAAAACAAATCATTTTATTTTGACAAAAGGTGTCCAATAACACTTGCCACGGCAAATCCATATTCCGTAATTACTCCAAATTTTCCCAATTTTTATCGGCTTTTTTTCTATATTAGAAGAAAACTCCGAGTCTGTTGAGTCAAGCAACGTTCATATTCGGGGCTTACCTTTGAACGAATTTCGGACGAGAGTCATGCTCATATTCGCGGGAGCCGGTGCCTCGAGGGTTACGTCCGGCGGCTCCTCTTCCTCCTCTTCCTCCACCTCCTCCTCCTCCAGCTCCGGCTTCGGCTCCTCGACGTCGCGGCCAGGTTCCGTTTTCCGGCGTGGGGAGGCGTCAGCTCGGTTTTCGCCTCACGACGACGAGTTCGTTGTCCATCGGCGTTCTAAGGCACAGCGGCGCATCAACATCGCTGCAGCAAATTTTCCTCGCTCTTCCCTCTTGTCAGGTCTCCGCGGGTCTCCGCCTCTCACGCGTATACTTTCAACTTGAACTCTCGCTGCCCTCGTCGCGAAGCCTCGTCGCGGCCCGCGCGCGCGCGCGCATGCGGATCCACTCCGTTTTATCGCGCTCCCTTGTCACCCGATCATCTATCCTCCCTTTCAGGCCGCTCTAATCACCGCGCTCTCACCGCGCGACTGTGCGTGCGATGTGCGATCTATCGCGGTTCGAGACACAGACCGACAGGACGAATCGCTCGTCTCATCATCGTCGCGGGCACGGCTACTCTGTCGTAGACTCCGTAGACGATGACTTCGGCGATGACGTTGAGCGTCGCGACGCGACGTGATCGACGACCGCGTGAAGGAACGGCGCACTACCGCTCGACCACGCACCACCGACGGACATCGAAGAAACACGCGCGTCACTGCCGCTGATCGTGCTTGATCCCGCGGTTACGACGATCGTAGAGCTTGATCGGCGCGTCGCGGAGACGTGCGCGCGCGGGAGAGGCACGGAAACGTGGAGGAAACCACGGTGAAGGCTATGTGCGCGAGAGGAGAGCCGCTTCTCGACGGGGACGGAGAATTCCAATTGTCGAAGATATATGCGCCTGATGGTGCCTCCGCCTGGACCGGACCGGACCGTTCGCGTTCGCTCCGTTTCGGCCACCTCCTCGCGCACGGAAGACTCGCGCGGCGCGAGAAGAAGAGACGCAGATACAGAGAGACGGATGGGCGGGACGTGGGTCCCGCTTTATATTCGGCGAGTTTTCCCCGCGGGGGATTTCAGGTGAGCCGAGATGTAGATCCGCGCGAATCGACTCCCGCTGGAACGTGGAGACCTGGCCGGTTTCCGCGGCACAACATTCTTCCCCCTCGCTGGGCTCTTCTCTCCCTCGCGTCTTCCTCGCCGCGCCGCCTCGTGACTTTTCCGTGGTCGTTGTCGAAGACGGTGGACGGTTGAGACCAGTTGAGACGCGGCTGGCCGCAGCTACGCTTTGTAAATAATCATTTCACTCGCGGCGCGCGGGTGTCTCGCGCGGAGAGATCGCGCGGAAACGCCGAAAAAGGAGAGAGGGTGAGAGAGAGAAAGAGAGTGAGCTGGGCCGAGAAACACAAACGAAAGGTAGAGAGAGAGAGAGAGTGTGAGAGGGAAAGAGGGAGAGAAAAGGAGAGAAAAGGGAGAGGCTACTCCGTGCTCCTGGTATATTTCGCGGGAATGTCGCGCGCGAGAATGTTGCACGCTCCTTTCTCGATCACTCCTCTTGTATCGCTTCTTCTTTCTTCTCCTCCTCCATCTCCGCGTCTTTTACCTTCTCCCCTCCCCTACTCCATCACTTCCTCCTCCACCTTCGACACCTTCTTCGTACGAGACGACCGTCTCTTCGCGCCACGCACCGAGAGACGTATATGGAGAAAAAGGGAAAAAAAAGGAGAGCACACTCGCGATCGCGATCCCGCGGGGCGAGAAGACGGACAATGACGGCGGGCGACTATACACGCGCGGACACACACGGCGAGTAAGAGGGGGGGCGGGGGGAAGGGGAAGGAAAGGGGACGCGAGACGGATGCGAGACGGGTCAAAGAGCGTGGTGGAAGGAACGCGAGAAAACGGGAAAAGCGAAAGAGAGAAGAGGTGAGAGGAGGATGGCGGGCGGCGGGCGGACGGTGTGTCAAGACATAGCAGAGAGAAAACGGAGCAGAGGGCGACAAGGCGGAGAGGCAGAGGCAGAAAACGGTTACGGTGCGTTACTAGCGGCCTCGCGCCGAGTAGAGAAGCCAGAAGCACCGGGTAAAACGCGATTCCCTAACTAACACACACGGAGACGGATCGGGGACTGCTTTGGAGTTTTACTATAGGATGGGACACGGATGGTGATGGCGGCCGTGTAGCCGTAGCAGCCACCGCCCCCATACTTCTTCTCTTTCTCGCCCCCTCTATCTCCGTTGCGCTCGCGCGCGCCGTCGCCCGCTCGCCGTCCACCCTCTCCCCCTCCAACGCGCGCCGAGCCGCCCCCTCTCCCGGCATCGTGAGATCGGGTCTCTCTTTCTCTCTCTCTTTTATCTATCTCCCTTTCTCCCTCTCGCCCCCTCCGGCGATATAAACGACGATGGACACGCTGGAATATCCCTCCACTCCTCTCGCTTTCCTACACGCGCTCCCCTCGTATAGCTACCGGCCGATGAAATCGCTCCCCTGCATCCTCCGCCTACGGTGTGCCGCCGCTCGGTCCCCTCGTCTCGCCCCTCGCTCGCCCCATGTCGCCCACCACCGACGCGCGGGCCCCCCTCTGCCGCGCTGCTGCCCGCCGCTCCTGGGACAGCGAGAGATGTTATCCTCGAGCGATTCGTGCGTGTGCTATATATCCGTTTGTCCGCCGTGCCGTGCCGTCGCCACATCCCCTACCTGCGTCGCGTTCCCCTGCGTCAACGTCGGCGTGTGCGTCGGCCGCAATCAAGGCGCAGGAGCGTAGCGACTGCCCGCGCGTGCCCCGCGCTCTACAGCTCCACAGCTTCATTGGTCAAGCGGCACGAGCGAAAGGTCGTAAAAAAAACATTATGACGTGTACTCCACATTGTTTGAGCGCTTAGAATGTTTTCGGTCGTTCTAAGAATGTCTAATTTATGTGACGCATTTAAGAATGCTTACACTATATTTAACCGAATAACGAGATCCGTTCGTTTTCGTTGCGCTATCTTGTACAATCGCGCTTATTTTTCTGCACTATAAATAAAATTAAATAAATACGTGTACAACGTAAAATATAAAGTGAATATTGAAACAAGTATAATTAAGTATAATTGAAAAGTATTTTCACGTCCGTAAGAATTCTATGTTCGAGCTCTATGAATAAAGGAATGTGCTGAATAATAAGAATTAAATTACAAATGGAATATTTTGAAATATTCCTTACCCGAAAAGAATCGTATTTCATATTAATATACATGTCAGCTAAAAAGAATTTTCATAAATAAGAGACCTACGTCTGTTGCTTCAAAGTCGTGTAAAAGGAGTTATTTTTATTCTGTAAACATATTAAAATTACTCTGGTTTAATAGTGAGCATTTTAGAATAAAATTACTCCCCCCAAAATAAACTCTCTGATTGTTCACTATATTCAAGTAGAGTTTAATATATTGAGTTTAATGTATCATCACTATTATTGCGATATATTTGCTTTATTGTTGTTTTACAATACCTCCCACAATTAATATAAAATAATAAAACGTCTCTCACGATGATCGTGACGTTCGCGGCACGTAGAATCGATCATAAATCAAGGAGGTCAGATTCACGAGGTACTGTAGTTCTCGTATATCGACAAAAAAGCAGTTCTTATCACGACGCGCTCATTAACCGGAAGCCATAGTATCTTCGGCTTTAGCTGGCACGCGGACGTTGTTGCTCCATTCTTTATCTGGTAAATGAAAGGATACGCACGTTATATATGGAGACGCGTATGGTATGGCCTAATGGCCATTTCCTTCGAAGCATGATGGAAATGGACCTCCTCTTTCCCTTTCTCGAAACCTGGTTCTCGTAGAGTAGAGGAAGAAAACTGGTTTCCGGAGAAAATGGTGCGCTTAGCAGATCTTGGAAACGAATTATAGTAAACGAAATAAGGTAAAGAATTACGGTGAAAGAAGTAAAGAAAAGAATTATAACATGGTCTGATCTGCAAGCTCATAAATGCGAACAGGAACTGCTTTCTTTAATCTGTCTGACACCGAAGTTTCGGACCGACTGTTCGATATTTAACATGTATGTTTCTTTCGACGATATTATTTTTAAAATGGAGTCACTGTACTACGTTTTTTTATGAGCTGAAGTTGATAAGAAAAATTACAAGCACACTTTTATGATCGGCAAAATGTTAAATTTTTATATGGAAATAGTGATAATTAAGAAGAGATGAAGAATATTTCTTTAGCAAGTAGGACAGTGCTTCTTATAGTTAAAATAATATAACTTTGAAAAGAATACTAATAGATGAATGGAGTTTATAGATGAAAGAAAAAGTTTCGAGCTTCCTCTAATTTAAAATTAAGTCCTGAGAGAGACTTAATTTCCGTATAGATATACAAATAAATAATTAAATTTTAAGAAAAAGTTCAATTGATGAGAACATTTTAATTATTAAGAATTAATAAATATCTATTATTATCTAGAAATTTAACGATATTACATAATAAAAAATACAATTTATTAAATTAAAAAATTAATTAAATCTAATCACCAATTTAGATCTTGCAATATGTATCTATATCGTATTGTATCATAAAATGCAAGTTATAATTTTTCCTAAATATGCACACAGCAGTGGTACGTTTAATGAAGTTAAACGCAGAACCTCGCAGAACGTTAATTATGCGGTGAGAACGGAGAAGTAGCAGAAATAGCGCGCGCGATAAGGTTCGGTTATCTGCGTTTAATTCCCTTGACTTTTCACCGCTGTGGAGCAGAGGCGATACGTCCGCGAAGTAAGTACACGGGAATCGCCTATTCGATGCGTGTAATGCGTAGACGCACTATCTACGAAAATTCATCCTTATTCTTTCCTTTTCGAGGAAATAGTAACAGTTAAGGACTAAATATTAATGACATATGTTTTTTCAGTATATAATCACGGACAACAAGGTGTATGTCCGGACTTTATCCGGAATTTCCCGGTTGTAAAAATATATTTATCAATTGTTATCATTCTGTTTGTGTTATCCCGCTCTTCAGGTCGGGTTTTCCCTTACTTCGTATTATTCTATATTATTCTATTTTGTTTTTATATTTAATATTTAAAAACAAATCAAAGATTTGAAATAAATTCTTAGATCGAGCATGTAAGATTTTTTTAGAAATATAAAAAGACGTTTATATATTTTGATATTATTTTTTATTTTAAGATCATTAAAATCCAGGTGCTAATCATAATGATATTCGTAATTATTTTCAAGGATAGTTTATACATACATAATTTTTAATGATTTTAATCTAAAAATATTGTTTTGATATTATAGAATAGTCATAATACCTACACTGACTTTTAACGATTAACAATTTATTCTTGTAATAAATTTATATACCTACTACTTTTCCTGGAATTTTACTTTCTGAGAAAGGAGAGCAGATATATTTCGTATTGCAAAGAAATCATTGATTATTATAGATAAAACAAGACGCGCGTAAATAAGATATAGCAACGTGAAATACATTATCATCTATCAATAGGTGAGGACGTTACGTTATGTTTTGTCGAGACTTTATCTATGTTTTCAATAACGTACACGATTACAATATACATTTCCGATATGCAATGATGCTTTAAATCGTGCTCGCACTCTTCTAAACGTCACATTGCTGATCGATGATGATGGGAAAGGTTCCCGAAATGAAGGATCGTGTCTATTTTCGAAGGTGACATCGAGTTACTCGTGATATCACGTATTATCTATGATAAAATATTCACGGGACAACGAGATACGTATCGCGAGCCTCTGTCGTATTCTCATCCCGCGACCGAATTGTAGTTAATCAATCGCCTGGTAAGACCGAGTCACGAGTTCTTAGTCACGGCCGTCACGGGTTCTTCCAAATTCAGCGGTCGGAATCAATGTGGCGATTCCGTCCCTCCCTCGACTCCGCTGCCCCACCTCGCTCGCACGGCTCCCACTGTCTTCCTCTTCTCTCATCTTCTCGAGCACGTCCGCTCGTTTTCCTCCCGTCGTTACGTCGAAGGCATGGCAGTGAGAACGCGGCGACGTGGTAGCGGCACTGTCCGCTACTATTATTAGTGTGCAGCTGCCTGCGAATTACTGAATGAAAACGGAGGACCGTCACACGGAACAATGTCCGAGAGAAAGGGAGAAAGAATGAGAGAAGTGGGCACCGCACACACCGCGCGCGGCGAGAGCTGGCGAGAGCCAGCGGCATCGTTAAACAACAGGCGTCGTCGGGCAATGATCGTAATCGGAGCTGAACCGCCGTCTCGCGCGTGAGCGGTAGACATGTTACAAATTAATCGCTCCTCGGCTGCGTAGCTTCTTCATTGTTTACCGATGTGTGCCTCCCCGACATACAAATCGAATCCCGATTCTTCTCGAATATTAAATCTTTCCGTACGCGTTGCAATCTTAATACACCTCGGATATACGTTTGACACATTATTCCATTAATATTCCAATACTCTGTGAAATTGACTTTACAATTTAACGCCGCTTCGGTTTCTGGAAAATTATTGATTAGAAAAAGAAGAGACTCTTAAATCGTCAGGACCCATTTTAGATCTATAACTTTCAGGGATCTAATCTGTTCATACGCTATTATTATTGAATAAAATCATGATGATCAACGTCATGATTCATTGTGAGTTTTATATTCTATATACCTGGGGTTCTATACTTACTGAGCTATTACTGAGTTGTTACCGAGTATTACTGAATATATTTTTACAACTAGAAAACTTTGAATAAAGTTTATATGTATACACTGCACTGTGTGCAACCATCAGTTGTGAAAAGGCATTTATCTATTTTTTATTTAAAAAATTTGTTTATTTAACTATATATCAATTGATTATAAAAAATAATAATAATACCAAGAAACTTAATAAATAACTTTTCAAAATTCTAAATAATTATCATATTATTATAAAAATGTTATGAATATTAAGAGAACCACTGGAGCTTAACACGCTTCGGTAAAGATGAAGGTACGATTACGAGACAGGGCAATATAATGCATAAACAAACTGTTAGTTTTCTATTGCGACAGTCGGACAAACCTCCATTTAAAAAATAATTGCCATTTCTCTCATAGTTTGTTCCCTAATATCCATCTTTCGAGCAGACATTTAAATGTTTCTCAAATATTTCAACCTTCAACTTTAAAAAATAATACACGTGAGTATCTATAATA